CAACATCAATAACACCTTTATCCCAAACTAATTGGGGTCAGTAAAACCACTCCTCAATTAAACCCAACTAGAGAATATAGGGTGAGAGCAATCCTTGTACGCAGTTTTACCCTTGCAAATAATTGCAAAGAGACTGTTTCTCGGATTCGAATCTATGACCTTTCAATAACAAAGGAACAACTTTACCACTATTTCAATTCGCCCTCTGTTAAAGTATCTTGTAGGATATTGATACGAAAAACAAATTACCTGTGTAAAGTATCTTGTCCCACTTTTGCTCCAAGAGTGCAGTTGTTTCAGGAATAGCCCCTTCAACAACTCTTACAGCAGAGTTGTCTAGGTAATTTTCAATCAAATTTGCAAGCAGTGATGACGTTGCTGGAGCAATTTCTGATGGTTTCAGGACCACTGCGTTACCCGCTGAGATGGCTCCAATGACTGGATCCATCGATAGCACTGAAGATAGGAAATAAGAACTTATCAATGGAAAGGAAAGGATGTGGAGAAGATGCAAAGTCAATACATTAGATAGTATAAGCATTTCCCCCAAAAAAATGATATGAATACTGAGAATTCATTAGATAGTGAAAAGTCATGAATTTATTGAAAGGTTATGGTAAAGATACAAAGGTATAATAGACTTGTCACTAATTTATTGAAAGTTTAGGCAAGTGACCAGAAACCTTTGGTCACTTCCCATACAGAGAAAATCAGAATTTTAAAAGGCATATGATTAACAAAGGGGGAATACAAATTTGTGCTATTTGAGGTTTAAATTAACTAGTGAATTTTAATTTCGACAAAAAAAAAAAAAAAAAACATGCAAAAGGGCTAGTATATGCATATGTGTATATGTTACAAGAGCTCCATAATACTGAAACGATTGAGAAGAAGAAAAGCTACTCTCCATTATAACCAAATACGGTTTAGATATGTGAATTCTGTGAAAAAGGAACATCTTTACATACAGAAAGGAAAGTTCCATGTTGAGATGACCAACACAACTCCCAGTGGTTCTGGCACAATCTCTGCTGATGATGGATATGTTGTGATTGAAGTTTTCACCTAAAAGGGAACAAACAAAAAATAAAAAACTTGTATTAATTAATAAAGCCATGTTGAAACTAATAATCATTGTTATTCTTGGTAATTACCTTTTCAGGCTTCATCCAGTGTTTCAGTTCTTGCAGTGCTTCACTACATGAGGATTTTGCCTGGGAAATCTGCATTTAAAAAGCACTCACATAAAATTTGATGTGACCATGCTGGTGGTAAAACTGAGGTGATTACCAGACAAAGGGAAATATTAAATGCCATCATGACAAAAGGGAATGGAAAGAATTCTATTTAAAGTAATGCTTAAAGGAAACATGTGAAGCATAGAAACAAAATAGGAAAATGAAGAACCTCAGTTATAAATGCTTCGACTCCAGGTTTAGAAAGGTCCTTATCAAGAGCTTCACTAATTTCCTTCTCCTTTTCTTCTAGCATCTTAGCTATGCCCTCCAACTGGGAAACCCTCCATTCATAGGTCTTTGTCTTGCCTGAATCAAAACTCTTTCTGAGATCTTTAACAAGTAAAGCAGCTTTCTCCCCATCAAATATTTGCTTCTCTTCTAATTCTGGCACCACTGATAGAGTTGCAGAACATCTTCACACGAAAAACCATATAAACATGCAAGCAAAACCAGATAAAAGAACATTATAATTGAGTAAATACAATTAAAGCACCATGATCAAAATATGGAGGAAGAGAGAGGATTTACGAGTATGAAGAAAAAACAACACAGCGGGAATGGAAGTGAAGTTGCTTGCGGAAACACTTTTTGGTTAAAGGGTCTGCAAAGACTCTGCTACCAACAGGGACACTGTTACTCAATATGAAGAACTGGAGTAAGAGACTAACCAATTATGATGAAAATTGTAGTGATTTGCTTTCCTTCAAGTTGCATTGATCATCTTTCTTTCATATCCCAGAATACGAAATATATGAACAATCATTTGTTTTATGAATAAAAAAAAAGTATAAGTAAATAAGCTCAGAAGTTGCAAAAGATGTACCTGGCAGCAAGGAACGGCCCAAGACTCAAGCTTTTCATAGTAGAACAAGAAGGAGAAGGAGAAACAGTTTCGGTAGTTGAGTAGTAGTTTTATCAAGAACTAGAAATGTAGTAATTTTATCTATGGACTTAAATATGTATGTAAAGCAGAACTGGAGTGAATGAGTTCTCAGCCATTGGAAATAGAAAGATAATGTTACACCAATTTGATGACTTCTCATTGACCATATATATGTGTTACACATGGACACACCTAAAATAAGAGAAACGTTTTAGTTTAGAAATAAATAAAAAATCTTGGGTACATAAGTGAAGTCACTAAGAATATATGTCACATAATTTGTCACGTGAATATTTTATGCGGTAGGCGAAGTCACCTCGTTCTCACATGAATGCATTTCCTTTGTTAACAGCAACAGTGACAGTGTGCTTCGATCAAAATCAACAGGCACACACCTCATACACAGGGTGCAATTATTTGTGTACTGTGTCAGTTGAAGACAAAAGTGTAAGTAAAGTGACAATCACCATTCAGGAAAGTGTCTTTGTTTTGTCTGCCTCCCTGACAAATAGTACATGGCCAAATTGGCCCACAATGACACCAAGTCTAAACAGGGCAGTGCTATAATTGTGAAATATTTATTATAATTAATAAAATTACTTTTCATTAAACTCGCTGATGATAGAGGTGAAGATAATTTTTATACCTAACCTTACTTTCATTTTGTAAAAAAATTATTAATCTTACCGTCACAAAAGAGCACTTCACACGCACCCTATGTATTTGCTATAATAAATAAATAATTAATAATTTGATAAATATTTAAAATTGACACTACCTTCCACTTATTGTTATAAATATTTGAGAAACAAAAAAAAAAACACATCCACTAACTTATAAATTCACTATTTCAATTTTTATCCAAAATATTTATTGTTGATTCCGATAAAGAAAAAAGTATTTAATATTATTTTAGAAAATTTTATCTAATATTTATTGAAACGACGTCATTTTAGAGTAGAAAGATTAAAAAATTAAAATGATAAAGATTATTATAATCCTGAAATACATTAAAATTACAAACATACCATAATTTCTGTCCTAAAATGACGTCGTTTCGGTGAACATTAGACAAAGTTTTCTAAAGTAATATTAAAACAAACAAACCCTTGCAATAAATACAACTAAGTGAATTTTAAGAGAAGTTTTTCTTTAATTTTATTATTTTCTAGAATTAAAAGAAATTTTCACAAAATTTACTTAAAAAAATATATAGGGAAAAAATATTTTGATATAATTAAAAGAATAACCAGTTTTTCTCATAGAAGAAATTATTCCCCTCCTCAAGGCCCATTAAATGCATGAAACTCACCACATTAAAAAAAAAAAAAAAAAGTGAATGAGACATTTTTATGAGTATTGAGGAGGAAGGTAATGTCTTCTATAAGATAAACTAATTCCCCTATTTAAAATGAAAAAATAAGACTAGTATTTATAGCCCCTCACCCTTTACATTTTAGAAAACCCAGTTATACTTCTAACAGTTATCATATATTAGTTATGTGGTCCTCTTCTAGTGTTGTTAGCACAGTACTCAGCATCAATCCCAACCTTATAGGAACTATAGCGCATGGTTTTCGCCAAAACATTGTAAAATTTTGATTTGGTATTACACAGTATCATCTATTAAATTGTGTACTACTTTTTTTTTCTTTTTTTTCTGGAAATCGATTGTGTAATACTTTAGAATGTGCTGACTTTGGATAGTTCTTCTGGAGTGTCCGATGGAAGGAAAGGAAAAAAGACTAAAACCCGGATACTTATTTTATTACGAGATGACATGCGTGAATTGCAAAAATTGGAGGAAAAAAATTGAGTTTTATGTTTCAGTTTTATCTGCCTGGTCCTAGTTTTCTCAAATAAAATTTATTCACTGTGTTATCCTTTTAAGTTTGTGGCTATAAAGTTTGGAAAAGTGATGGATAAGAAATATGGCAGGTGGTTTGGTCTTGCATAGGATATCATAGAATGCCATAAAATTTATTGCTTATCCACGGACCCCTACTGTATTTGGCTATTTGCCCTGTTAGCAAGTATAACCGGGTCAACCCATTCCTACCCACTTCATCTACAACAGATAAAAAATGGAGCTGAATGAATTAACCCATATTTAAAAAGATTGGGTATTTATCATTTTAAATGACATAAATTATGTCATTTTAAAAGATAGAGATAGACACAAGTAATTGAAATCATGGGAGAGAAAATGAGTGAATTTTTTTTTATTTAAATTTTAAATAAAAAATATTTTCTTATGTCTATCTCTCTCTTAAAATGACATAATTTTATGTCATTTAAAATTACAAACACTTTTTCCATTTAAAAATGGGTTGAAAACATCAACTTACTCTAGTTTATAATGGAGTAGCCAACCTTATGACCAAAGAACCAGAGAGAGAGTAGAGAAAGAGGAAAACAACCTTCTACTTCTAGAAGACATTCATCCAGAATTAAAATGAAAACAACCACTTCCTTGTCCTCAAATTCCACCGTAGAGATAATCCCAGCGCTTGGTTTTGTCTGGATTATGGCTAATTGGTCTTTGAGATCTACAGTTTCATAATTAGTCAACCATTCTAAAGGAATCAATTCTGTCAGTTCTTCTTCACAAGATATCTTTCTATGAATCTGGATAATAGAAGGATGATGTTGTGATTTTCTTTAATATGCTTTACAGTGAAATTATATCTTGAAACCCAATCTTTCAATACGAGGATTTGAGAGTCTGGTGGCATCTTGTTTTTGAACTCCAAGACCCTATCTCTCATGTTGGCTCCTGGAGTAAAACCTAATTTTCTGACTTCTTCTTCAAGCTGAGCTATTTGCTGCATGTTCTAAAAAATTAAAAAATTAAACATGAATCTTATTAGCAAGTGCAACATTATTATTTATTGAACCAATAGTTCGCAATTTCTGAAGTTCGGATATTTTTCATGACCAAGTACATAACGGAGCATAGGATTACACACGTTCACCCGTTTAAATATACACATACATATATAAGAACTGAAAAAAGATTAAAACTAGCGTTCAAAAATCTAGCTTGCATACAACATATTTGTTATTTTGAATTGAACAAGTTTAAGAATCTACCAAATAGACTCATTACTGGTATAATAATGAATATCTAATAAAATAAAAATCTCAATAATCAAGATGGCAAGGACTTAACAAAGATGGGAGGGAGAAAGGACTTCAGAAAGATGGTAAAGCGCTGTACTAAGGGATCACGTTGTATGGGCACCGTGTGTCCGTGAAGCCCATATTCCAAATACAAGAAACCAGAAAACGAACAAGATTGCCCAATAACGTGCAGGTCCATACTTGATTCTGGTAAGCACAAACTGCAATAATCCAAAGTATACAAAATAAACAGATTCTGATTGGTACCGGGATTGAAATTAATAAAACTTGCAGTTCAATTATATATGTGCCACTTAGATCAAGCATCTTCTGTATTTGTTTTTTTATTGTTCCTGCCATCAATAATTTTGGAAATAATTCATTCAATTATAAAAAGTCACGTGCTGACTAAGAGATTAAACCACTTTTATATTCAATTATTTTTAAAAGCATAGTCAAGTTTTAATCCAGCCGAACAATCACCAAATCTGAATGAAATTTCTTTAACAAAGTACAACCAGGGGGACCAAAAGGAAGGTACATGAAATACTTACAAAGCGGAAGAAAACCACCACTGTTAAAGCACAAACACCTCCAAGTAGGATATGAAGACCACTTTTTGCAGTTTTCTGGACAACAATTATAGGCTGTATAAGCATAAGCTTCTAAACAAAATCAAATAGGGAAGCAACCAAGATATAAAACCATAATCAAAAGAAAGTGAGATGTGAGGCCTATGAAATTGCAATGGGTGATTTGTATTAATCTTATTAAGCACCATCATCCAAACAAAAGACTTGACCTTGGAGGAAGCTTTGGGCTTCCAAATGGGTTTATCAAGAAGGAAACTTTGAAGACTAGAAGTGTGAATTAAAAACGGAAAGAAAGATATGCAACATAACTCTCCATAGAAATCCGAAGTCCAACACTCCTACCATAATTGGCTGAGATACGTATATAATCAAGTAGGAACAACGGGGATCGTAGTTCAAGAGTTTCCCTGTCATTCAAATCTCCACAAAAATGAAATTTTCAATTTAGAGAATGACCCAGAATAGAACATAAGTAGCTAATGACGAGTTATGCAAAGTAGAGAGATGACAAAGGAGAGGAGAGACCTCTAAAGAAAAAGAAAAAAGGGCTAATTGACTATTTTGTCCCTATTTTAAATTGTTTTACCACTTTACCCCTCTTCCCAAACTATATATCAATTTGTCCCTCTTCTCAAACTATATAACAATTTGTCCCGTTTGAGTAAATGGTTCATTGCATTTACTCAAGTGTCAGACAAACTTTGATCAAACAGGTCAGTAGATTAATATATAGTTTGACTGTTTGAGAAAAGTGGAAGATTGATATATAATTTGGGAAGGGGGCAAATTGGTAAAAAAAAAAAATTAAAACATGGGCAAAATGGTCAATCAGCCAAAAAAAAAGTTTTTTCTGAAAGTTAATCTAGTCTCACCACTGAAACTGAAAGTAACCAGTTGTCTAAAAGAAATATATCCCAGAGAAATAAATTTTCAAGAACTAGAGTGAGTTGAAATGATCACTGGGTTAGCATGCCCCCCATTCTAATCTAAATAATATTTGCTAGTAACAATATAAAACAGATATCATAAGGACTGTATGTTAGTAGCAAGCATAAAAAGAACATACTTCATAATAAACACCACAAACATAGTGCCCGTTTGGCATGTCTTATTTTTAGCTTCTCTTCTTCTTAAAAGCAGAAGCTTAACCAAACATAATTTTATAAAAGCTTTTATAAAAACTTTTCTTTTAATGAAGAAAAAAAACAAAAAGCTCCCAGGAGGAGCTTTTTCTTAAGATGTATGGCAGCTTTTTGGAATCCTCATATTTATTTTACAATTTTACCCTTATTCTAAACTTCTATTTATAAATTTTATTTTTTACCCTAATAATCCATCCTAATAATAAATTATTTCATCTTCCCTCCTTCAAAACCATCTGAACAGCTTTAAATAATCACCAAATATCTTTTAGCTTTATTATTTAAACTCTTTTTTTAACTTTAGCTTAAGAGTAGCTTTTAGCTTAAGAAAAAGATGTGTCAAACAGGCTCATAATCTGACCATTCAAATTTAATATAATTGACAATTTCTCCTTTATATTACCCCAAATTGTAGTTTTCCTATTGTCGCAATCTGCATACATAAATGAGATTCTCAAAGATAAATCTGGAGGGTAGGTTTAGATGGAGGAAAAGGTTTTGAGTAAACCTAAGTACCTAACCCATGTATGAGAGTTTCTTAAAATGGGATGAAAATGAAGGATTATCATGACCCAATTTGGAGAACTTAAGAGGATTTTAAACATCCAATTTTCAAACAAGGAAAAGGAAACTTATTACATAACCTCTCATTCTCTTTCCCTCCCTTCCCCTCCCAACTCCCAAACATACCCCAAAAAACTGCCATGAAAACAGACCAAGAAGTGTTGGCTAAACTATTATCGACCAGCCCACTAAGCTTGCCACCATTTAGAGGTCTCAGCTTCTGACCCCTATATTAAACATAGACTATATGACCTTTTAAACCATGACCTTTCCCCTCCACCACATCTTAGTAGGTGAAAAGTGGTGGCATTAGACCCCTTTAGGTGATCAGTATACAGAATTACAGTCTAAATTTCAACCCTGTGATATGAGTCCATTATTAATCTTGTGTCCCATAACATACCCATAATTCTTCCCAGTTATAATCAAGTTATTGGATTTCTACTACGTACTTTTTAATTAAAAGAGGACGAATCTTGAAGCAGTAGTAAGTTTGCTCCTTTGTGATTGGAAGGTCACGAGTTCAAGTCCGGGAAACAGCCTATTTGCAAAAATGCAAAGGTAAGATTGCGTACAATCAACCCTCACCCCCACCCTCGCAAAGTCGGGGAACCTTGTGCACTGAGGTTTGCCTTTTTTCCTTTATTTTTTTAATTAAAAAAAGATTGGTAGAATATTTAATAAGGATGAAAGCAACTTCTTTAAGTAAAATTGCTAGCAACAATTGTCGAATTAGTATTTGGTCTAGCAAATGAAGAGACACATGAGTAAAAGGCAGGCTCTACAGATTATGTGGAGCAATGAATTGATAGATAGCCAAGCTAGTGTATTTGCTCCATATGCATGAATAACACATTGTGCCTGACTCAATGCATGCATCACTATCATAACCTTCTAAAAATTTATCCTAACATAATTTTGTAAATGCACAAGTTCAAATTAAACTAAAAATGGGTATGTAGAAACATTGTATGGGTCCATGCAGGCGTATGCAGACACATTCAAGCAAAGAAAGAACATCTAACTAAGAACTTGCCACATAAACATATTAATGTGTTTGGGTACCTATCACAGTTGATATTCAATTTTCTGTACCTTTCCAACTCGAGGAGCTATAAGCCATGCAAGGGTGATGGTAAGAAGCCCTGTAGCAAGCAGGATCCCTGTGCCTTCCACGGCCCATTTCGTTGCAGGATTCTGCATAGGTCCAGCATCTTCTATAACAATATTCATAGGCTGCTCCGAAAAAACCTGCGATACTGGGTCCACATTGCTATTGTTGTTATTGTTACTACTATTATGAGGACAAAACCATAGTGCAATCTCACTTAGCCGTTGCCTACGGATAGCAGCCACAGCATCAGGATCCACACCAGTATTTGCATGAACTTGTGCAGGACTGGGATCCCCACTGGCAGTTCTTTCCCTCAATGCTGCATACTCCTTCAAAGAACCAACAACCTTATTGAAGTCAGAAATTCTGATATTATTTGCTATATGTCCACATATTTCACAAATGGTAGATCCATGGTTAACAAACCACTTGAGTGCACAAGCATAATGCACTAAAGCAAGGTCATTTTTACAACAACAACCAAGTTCCACTAATGTATCCCGATGAGACAAACCAATTTCCAAATCATTTTTACAAATGAAAACCTCCCCATCAGGGCTTACAAATTCCACCATCCCAGTTTTGTTTTCAATATTGCTGTTAAGAGACATATATTTTGGAATTTCCTTGTCATCAGACCTTACTTCCCCCTTGATTTTACACATTTCTATAACTGGGGCGATGCCCAAAAATTCTAGCACGGCATCTCCCCTTTTATCAGATTCAGCACACTGGCACACACGACAACTTGCCAAGCCTGTCTCCTTCTCCAGACTAATTCGCGAGTGAGAATCTAAATCCCCCATCCCAACACTTGAGGAACCATCATCACTGACTTCTTCCTTTGTCATTGCTGACACGTTTTCTCTGCCCATCTGATCAGTTCTGTCATTAGATTCAAACTTACAATTTGAGCCTTCAGATTTTTGGCCCATTCTGTTTCAACAAGATTCACTTAATTGAGCTCACAAAGCTATCTTCTCTGTTGAGAATTACCATAAAAAAGAGACCAAACACCACCATTCCAACAAAAAACAACCAAGCGCAGAGAAAAGATGCTTTTGCTTCAATGGTAAGGGGAACTAGAGGCCTTTAGCAAAAAAAAAAACTATGGACGGATGTATATATTTTCCACGAGAATACATAATTTGAATGCTGCAGATCCAGTTCTTGTATAACCTGAAGAACACTAATGTTAATTGCACCTTAATGTAATCCCTGGTTGCATGACAAAAAATAAAATAAAATAAAATGAAATATGGAGAGTGGAGACATCTAAAAGTCCAAGAGAAATTCTTATTGTACTCTTGAGAGTAATACACCCAAAGGCCAAGATTTTCTTATAAAATTGATATGACAGAACAAATTCAATAAAATCTGAACATGAATTGTTTGAAAATAAAAAAAAAAATCAATTCACAGATAAGAATGCCTGATTTTTTATTTTTTATTTTTTTTGAAGTTCCTTATAACTGACATCAGAATTCAGTTATTGAAATGCAATATCCGAGCAGCACACTCTGACCACAATTCCTTAAATTAATCGACTGACAGTGAGAATTAAAAAAAAAAAAAAGCAAATTCTTTCAAACGAAAAGCGTAGAACAAATTGTTGGATTTTACAAAAGGCATGAGAAACCCCAGTTCTCCCAAAAAAAAAAAAAAAAAAAAAAAAAAAATAAAAAATAATAATAATAATAATAATCAAATTCAATTAAAATTACAAGCCTAACCGAAAATCAAAGGGATCCCAGATTAAGCTCACAGCGTAATAAAATAATAATAATGAAGAGGAAAAGAAAGACATTGAATTGAAAATTGAAATGAACAAGTTGGGTTTGGATCTTACAGAGAAAGGCGTGAAGACGGAGCAGCAGAATTGAGAAGGTTTCGTGCGCATCAGTGATTACTGCTCACTAATAATCAATCAATCAATGCTATATTGCTATTGCTACCGTTTTTGTTTAGTGTTGTTTACTTAATTACTCATTTACTTACTACACTCTTTCTTTTCTTCCCTTTCGCATCTTCACCTATACACACACAACACAAGTACACAACACACATTACACGTACGTACCTATTACACGTACGTACCTACTACTCCTATCCTTTTCCGTGCAAACATCATATAAATCTTTCTTTCTTTCTTCTTCTTCTTCTTTTCCTATGTCGTCATTATATTATCATTTTTAGTGGACTCAAATCTTCTTGTCTTTAACTTTATCTATTAATAAGTTAGAAAAAAATTACTCTTAATGATAAATTTTTTAGGTGGTGGATCTCACAAAATTTATCTCTATGACATAATATTAAAGATATACTTTTGAGATGGTGCATCTCAAGGTCTCATCAAATGGTATCAGAGTATATGTGGAATTGTGCGTGAGCACCTCACAAAAATAGCTTTCATGACATGAGATTAATAAAACTCAATAAGTTATGAGAAAAGTGTTTGTATTTAAAACATAATTTATTTCATTTCACTCTCATAAAAAGATGAGATTATTAGTATCTCTTTCTATTCCTTTATTTATCTATTTCTCTCACTTAAAATAACTTAATTTTAATGATACGCATTTTCTCCATAAATTATTAGTATCTAAATCTGATTTCATCTATTATATAAAATAAGATTTGTGTGCGCTAGTTTCATGTCACAAGTCCTTATTATGAATTTTTGTTTTTCTAAGAAAATTATATATGATGTGTTATTTCTTTCGTATTTTTCAACATTTAAGATTATCTCAATTAAATTAATTATTTTTATGTTAATGATGAGGAAGGTTATACTTACAACCTATTTTTGTTTACAACCATAATCTTAACCGTTGATTTATGTCAATCAACGGTTATTATTTTCGCAAATTAAATTTATTAATTATTTATTAATTCGCAATAAATGATAACCGTTGATTGACGAAAATCAACGATTAAGATTATGGTTGTAAAAAATGGTAAATAAAAATAGATGGTAAGTATAACCTTTCTCATTATATAAAGGTTTGTTTTTCTATAGTCATTGTAGATAAGTTATTTATTTTGAATTCAAAATTATGTTGTTTTGGTACAAAAATAAAAGTATTTTTATAATTATAATTTATTTTAAGATTATAATAGTCTTTTTTATTATAATTTTTATTTTTTCAACCCAAAACAACCTCAAAGTAAATGTATATAATTAATTTACATTTACTGTAAAAACATTAAAGCTTAATTATAATCATATTTTATTTGTCATGAATAAAAAATCAATCAATTAATTAAACGAATCGATTACAAGAAACGTCTCTTAATTAAATCATCATTATAATAATTGCAACTGTTTTCAATTTTGTTGGTGAAAAAAAATTAATTAAATGGATTAGCTAAAAAATTTCTCTCAATTTAATTAAATGAATTTATTAAATATAATTGGGATTCACTAAAATAATTATTATATTTTAAATAAAATTCATCGAATGATATATTATATAGCCATAATATGTCTAAATGGTAAGTTTAAAATTATAAATAATTAGTGATAATCGTCGAAATCACAGTGGGTAATCAACGATTTCCTTTTTTATAATTCAACAGATTAATTAAATTTTATATTATAGAAAATCTGCAAAATTTACATTTAAATATCATTATAGAATGGAAATACAATAAATTTTTCTGTAAATTAGTTCATAATGAAATTTCTACAATTGTAACTAAAATCGTGGTATTGTTGGATATAACTTGTCTTGATAATGCTCATGAGTATGACTTGACATCTTTTATGGAGTGATTACCCTTCTTTCTATTTCAATCATGCCATGTCAGGTATTTATGGGCTTAAATTCGTTGGCCCAATTCATTCTACCTTTCCTTTATCTTACTCAGCCATCAACAAAAGAATGCTTAGGCGGTTTGGATCAGTTTTTTTTTAGCTAAAAGTTATTTTTTTAGAAAAAAATATATATATACTATAAAATTTGTTTAGATGTTTGTTTTTAAAATGCAGAAGCTATAAAAAAAAAAAAGTCAAAAATTTACTCTCTCTTTTTTAAGCTATAAATTTTAACTTCTAAAAAAAAGCAGAAGTCAAAATCTAAATATATTATTTTAAAATTTTAACTTTTGTAAAAAAATACTTCTAAAATAAGCAAAGCATAAAAAGTACTTTTTTATATGTTTATCCAAACGGATCCTTAGTGTTGGAAAACTGATTCTATATCTTCATTCAATAACATTGTCTTTCTTGTTGCGACTGATCAATGTAATTAGGCATTCTTGCAATAGTAGAGATATTTGCTTACAAATTTAGATTTCCTATTGGATGGATTGTAAAATAAAGAATACCAATGTGAAAGATTGCTTCTTCTTTTTTTTTTGGTAATCGAAAGATTGCTTTAAATGGTCTCTCGTATGAAATTGAACCAAAAGTGTACTTAAAAGTTGAAACATAAGGTTTGTTTTAAATTTAAGCCTTTTTCTCTAAAGCTGTGAATACATAGAAATGATTTAATTTGATTTGATCCTACTCCTACCCCAATCTGTTAAACCAAGTGTGGTGGCTCAGTTGGTAGCATGGGGACTGAGTGGTGGGAGAGGACTTCAGTTCGAATCTCACCAACACCATCTTAGGAGGGACATAAGTACCGTAATCCTTGGACTCGCACCAAAACTCTAGATTAGTCCCATAGGCGACTCAAAGAGTCGAATCCGTGGAGATACCGAGGTTCTGATCAGTTACCACACAAAAAAATACAACCTGTTATGTTCTCTTTATCTTCATCTTGTTCTGAGTGATTAAAGCAACATAAAGTATCTTTAGGCTTCACTTTGATTGATTCTAAGTGTTATTGTCTTCAACTTGATGGATTATGGCTTTTACCCTCACCAATACCTTGATTTCCCTTTCTGGCATCTTTCTTCTTGCCCCACTCATGTAGCCTCAGGTGCAACTCTGCAGCAGCAATTAAGAAATGTATGGCCTGTTTTGGAGTCAGAATATTAACAATGTCATGCAGTGTTCTCAGCCTTAGATCATCACCTTTCATCAGGATCTTCTCAAGACCTTCTTCCTTTGGTACCAGAGTTGATTCAACTTTGTCCTCTAATTCTCTATTCTCATTATCTCCTGTTTCATTGCCTCTAATCATCTCAGAAGCCACATGAGATAACTCAACCATTGAAGCATCAGCAACTGTTTCCTGGTGCTTTGCCATCATATCTGTGATTTCCCTCTCCTCTCTAATAGTCCTCCTTTGCAACTCATCAAACTGAGAAAGTTGAAATGCTGAGATCTCTCCCAAGTCATCACATGTTTTTAGCCCTTGAATCAGTTCATTCAACCTAGCCTCAAATTGCAAACCAGACTTGGAATATAGCAAGTGAAATGCCATACTTGGTCTCCACCCACCAATCCAAAGAAAAGCCTCTTCCAAGGAGCTTCTCCATGTTGGGGAAAACATGGCCAACACATCTTCATTTGTCCATCTTGACTTGGTCTTATAGTAATACTCATAATGCTCAACCACCCTATTAATCAGTGACTGAATTTGCTCTTCTGTTTGGTTAGTTGATTCAGCTGCTATAAGGTCTTCAAGATGTTGGTTTTGTTCAGCCAGCCAGCACTCAAAAAACTTGTGGAAGCTTTCACCCTCAAAGTTATTGTTTTCAGCACACTGGGAAAGGTGCATGCCACTGCTTGGAAGCATAGACATAGCTGTGAAGCAGAATGCACACAACCCTCCTTGCTACTGCATAAACTAGCAAGAGAAATTTGTGGTGGAACCATGTTTTTATAGGAAGAGAAATGCAACTAGCAAGTGGGGCTGCAACATATGGAGGCGCTTTCAGTTTCAGGGAACTACGCCCATTGGATCATAGGATTGGCATTTAATTCACTGTATCTCATATGGAAAAGTGAAAGAAAAAATAATGGTTGGAAAACAAAGGTGATATAAATTAAGGGTTTAACATCTCTTATATTATTTTTATCTCCCCCAAATATAAAAGTATATAGTATTTATTCTTTTTTTTTCTCTTTTTTCTTTACATTATCTTATATGTGCTTCACATACTTTTATATGTGTAGAAGATAAAATTATCTTCTATAACATAAAAAATATTAGATTCATAAATTTAATTATATGTTGCTATAATGTGCATATAATGAAAGAGGTTTGGATGTGTGTGCCACTTGAGGAAGCCAACATAATATGTATATTAATATTATATAACTAGTGAATTACCCGTGCGATGCTCGGGAGAAAAATAACGAAATTGTTGTCGGTCGTCGTTGGTTAATCATCGCCTCGGGTAAATCAACACCTTCATCGTAGCGTGAAGCTTTGAATTTTAATATGCTAGAGATATAAACATAAAATTATAAATATAAAGGAACAAAAAACACAAAAAAAACATACTTGTTTTGAAATGGAAATGAATTATCGTGCTATTTTGTGGTACTTTTGAACTTGAAAAAATTACCGCATTCACGCAGAACTTTGAAAATAACAACTTGCCAAATTCTTGAATGAAGTAAAAAGGCGACATAATCTAGGACAATGCACAACAGTTTATGCAGCCAAAAAAATTCCAACTGTATTCTTTTTCTATCTTGCTTTCCTTGGGCAAAGAGGACACGTCCAGCACCCTACAAAGACAAAAAAAAAACATAAATTATTTGGGATGAACACTATTTGAGAATAGAAATTTTAAATGAATATAGCAACCAATGAATAAAAAATTAAAATTATAGGTCGCATTAAAAAAATTGGTCAAACATTTGGGATTTTTTATATACTGGTCATTAAATATAAGACACTTATATTTTAAGATGCAGAAGAAATAGAATGAAATAAATCTTGTCTTACAGTGGACAAAAAGAACTACACTAATCTCTGAAATAGTTCCTTGTAGACGATGTTAAAGGTGTTGTCTGTAATACAATCATTATCATCAAGTATCAATATCTTCAATCTCTGTTTGCTCTTTACTCTCGATAGTGCCACATATAATTGCCCTTGAGTGAAGACAGGCCTAGTGAATTACCTGTGCGATGTCCGGGGGAAAAAGAATAAAATTGTTGTCGCCGTCGTTGCGTCTAGATTACTATCTATCTATGTTTTTTTATATTTAGACAGTAAACATAAGGAAAAAAAGGTGTTGGAGTGCGGGGTGGGCCGGCCCTCCGGGCCGAACCCATTCTGCCACATCTAACTGCCAGCATTTTATATAAGCATGTAATAGGTTTTTATATTTATTTACAAAAAAAAATTCTTATAGTTGCGTCTAGATAACTATCTATCTGTGTTTTCTATAGTTTGACAATAAACATAATAATAGATATAAAAAATTAACAAAAAAGAGGTGTTCTTACCAAAAAGTCAAATTAATTAAAATAAGATTGTCTCATTCTTGGAAGTGGGGATTATAGTGTAGAATACATAAGAAAATTGAGAGAGAAAAAATCTTGAATAAAAGTAATACTAAACAACAAAATATCAAGTTTGATTTTGATCTCGCTTGATACCTTTTTTGAAGACCTCAACCTCTGGTACATTCGAATCCAAGATAATCCCTATCATATATTTTGTATTTGTTATTCTGATTTTCAAGAACACGTAAAAGTGGGAGATACAAAGAGACAATTAGAGTACAAAAGAGTTAAAAATAATTAAAAAATATTAAAAAAAAAACTTTTAAACCCTTTGACCTCGCAAGCTAGACTATTATGATATTCTGAGAAGATTAATTTTTTGCCAAAAACGTTCGTACTTCATCCACATATTGTTCCCATAATGTGACTCAAGCTTGTGACCCCTAAAACCTTTAATCCTTGCAAGTTGGACGATTATAACGTTTTGAGGAGACTCGTTCTTTGCAAAGAAAGACTGCACTTTATCCACATGCTGCTCCCACAAAGTACATTCGAGCTTGTGACCCCTACTTTCAGAAAATTTGGAAGAAGTAAAAATATATTTCATATGAAAATATATTCCACATCAATCATACGAAAATACCTGAGGTCATCAAGTTCTAAAAAAATCATCTTTATTTTTCTACCGAATACAACATGCTCACGAACGTCCCCAATACATGACAGCAAACCTATGACGTATACAGAAAAAGAAGTTGAACATTTATCAACGACATCAACAGATAAAATATGCCAGTAAACCCAGAGACAAAAACATTACCCACTAAATAAGGAGAGTCAGTTGATTCTCTCTCTATAACGTCAAAATCAACAAAACTAAATCCATTAGTAGGAATAGTAGCATCCACAATCGATTTAACATCAGTCCTCAAGTTGAAAGACAGACGATAATCATGTCTAGTTGGCTTGAAATTATCACTTTTCAACCCAACTCCAAAATTTCTTATAAAATAGACATCCCCTTCACAAATATTTTTACGGACATTCAGAGATCCTTTGACAGTAGCATGTATCCTTCCACCCTACAAAATGAATACATTAGATACCTTCACATCAGGGCCGTAAAAAAAAAAAGAACGAAACGAAAAAAAAACAAAAAAAGGAAAAAGAAACTAACAAATTTTTAATGTGATCAAATTTTTCTAATTATTTTACAAAACGATATATGTCATTTTTAATTTTATTTATTTAATTTTAAAATTTAAAATTTAAATTCTTTTGCATTAAGTATACATATTTTTTAAAAAATAACTATTTCTCTTTTAAAGTGTGAACACAAACCTAAGAAGAAGAAGAGAGCGACACGTCAGCAAAGTTTATATGAATTTTCTATATATTAATAGAGGCAGGATCCTTTGACACTGGTGTCAAATTTGAAGTTTGACACCTCATCAAAAAGTCGTTAGATGAAAAAAGATCAACGACTCTGAATTATAAGCATGTGACACTCTTGATCTTTTTTGATCTAACGGCTCTTAGATGAGGTGTCAAACTTCAAATTTGACACCGGTATCAAAGGATCCTACCTCATATTAATATTATAATTCACAATTATAGTAATTATGACAACTTCCAGCAATTACTATGTTAAAGTGTCGTTTCGTTTTTACAAACAGTAAAACAATTACGTCTGATGTTGGCAACTGCAATCAACAATTATGGTGGCAACTACAACACTTCTTTTGATTGCCATAAGCAATCTGTTCGATTTAATAATATACAATATTAATAATTCTGTTGTTTTCAATGCAGAATGCAGGGCCAAATGAACATGCATGTCTATTTTGGGTTGAACTTAATGATTTGGGGGTATTCCATAAGTGTATTAATATTCACATATATGATAGTTAATGCTAACATATACACATAATAAACATAAAAATCTGTCAAATACTTAATTGTTGCATCATTGGTTTTTTTAATTTTTTTCTTTCTCCAAAGCCAATAATTAACATAAGACTCTTCGTATCTTCAAAGCTAGTAATTAATCTCTCCATGTATTTTTCGTATTTCAGAGATTTGTACAGGGAATGGTTAGAACTCAAAACAACATTGTGTATTTACTAAAAAAATAAAACAACATTGTATCATTGAATTATATTTTTAAAAGGCAAGGATGTAAAATAAACAGTTAAATACTTAATAGTTGCATCATTGATTTTTTTAAATTTTTTCTTTCTCCAAAGGCAGAAATTAATACAAGACTTTTCGTATCTCCAAAGCCTGTAATTAACCTCCCCATGCATCATTTTTCATTTTTCAAAGATTTGTATAGGGAATGGTTAAAACTCAAAACAACATTGTGTGTTTACCAAAAAAACAAAACAACATTGTATCATTGAATTATATTTTTAAAAGGCAAGGATGCAAAATAAATAGTTAAATACTTAAAAGTTGCATGTTTTCTAAAAAAAAAATTGAAAATGAAAAAATGAATTATTCCTTCATTAATTGCATTCATCAGGTCAACATTAATTGTGCATAGAAGGTCATCATTAATTGTATTCATCAGGCCTTTTAAGTAACTTGAATTTATTGGTTGAAAAACTTAGCTTCCTCTACATTTGCACGCGTGAACTCCAAACTAAATGTTTACTTGTTAAATAGACAAGGATTTAATTTAACGTCAATATTCTAAAAACTAAGAAAAACCATGCATCTCGAAAATCACAATTGCCATTCTATGCAAATATGTGGTGAAAAAAAATAAAGGAATAATGGATATTGGAATTCATTTCTTTTTAATTTGGGAACATGCATGAGAAAGGTTGGCTTTTTTTTTGAAAGATAAAGGAAATTAAAAACACAGCAAAAAGACCTAAGTGCAGAACCTAGCCCAGCGAACACCTACAGTGTCGCTGTATAAACTTTGAAGACAGCCAGGAGGAGGGTCATCAAAGACTTGCACATCCCATGGAAAGCTATACGCATGTGAAGCTAAGAAATCAGCTACTTTGTTTCCTTCACGATGGACATGAGAAATCTGGACCTGCCAGCATCTTTGCAACATTCCTCTAATACGTTGCACCAAGCTCGACGAAGAGTGATTCTGATGACACCCATTAGAAATAATCTGTTGGGCTGAGAGGGAATCTCCTTCCAGCCACACTTTTCTAAATCCTTTTTCCCAAGCTAAACGCAAACCTTCCAAACAAGCCCATAATTCTGCATGCAAAACAGTACCTGGCCCCAAATTCTTGCAGAAATCGATAATCCAAGCTCCGGACGGGTCACGAATAACACCACCACATCCTGATCTGTTCCCATTACCAGCTCTAG